TTATCTTGTGATCTGACCTGCAGAGCACTAATCACTGTGCTATAGACCCACAGGTTATCTTAAAATTAAACTAGTTAATATATATTTTTTATATATATAAAGCTTATTCTATAATAATTTGCTGTAACTATTATATATACAAATAATATTTTTATTTTAAAACTTAATAACAAATATTTTATAAAAATTTTTTGAATTAATAATAACTATATCTTGTATTATTATTATAGATTTTTTAAAAAAATTTTAAATTAATAAAAATTTAATAAAAACAAAAAATTTTAAATTTTTAAATTAAAATTTTTTATTCATAACTAATTATATTAAAAAAATTTTTTTAATATTTTCATATTACAATTTAATGAAATTCATTTCTGGTTTAATTGTAAATAATCTTTTTATTTTATTAAATTAATATTAATATATTTTATTTTATTTTTATTTTTATTTATAATAAGAAAATTTTATTTAAAAATTTTGTTAAACGTTATTGTAAAAATATAATCAATAATTAATTAAATATATAATTAAACTAGTTTTTAAAGTTAAAATTGTATAAAATATTTATACAATTAAAAATTTATTTATTTATTTAAAATTAAAATATAATTTTATAATAATATTTCTATTAATATTACAAATGACAAAAAAATATTTATTATTTACAAAAATTAATAAATTTATTGCTTCTACTCTTATTATACTCAATAATATACATAGATTATAAAAAAATTTTATTAATTAAAATTATAAAAATATAACAAAAACAAAATATATATCATCTAAAAATAAAAGTAATAATGATATTTCAAAATTATATAAAGTATAAATAAATAAAAATATTTATTAGAATAAAAAATATATTAAATTTTCTTATTTTAATAAAATTTAATTTTTTATACATGTGCTTGAAGCTAATTTTAAATTTTTCAAAATTGATACTTTATATAATAACTTCTTTAATATTAAATAAAACTTAAATATATACATATAATTAAAAACCTATAATCTAAAAAATTTTATAATATTAAAATTTTATAATTATAATTATTAATTATTAAAACATTACTATTAAGGTTTTTGTTAATATTATATCAAATTGAATAAAAATAATATGATTTAAAAACTTAGATCTTAAATTATTAATCTATAAAATTTTTTTTATAAAGAAAAAATTAATGTAGTTATTTTATTTTAAAATTGTATAAGTTATATGTTACATAATATATGGTTTATAAATTATAAGATAATTAATTTATATTCTGAAAATTTTTGATTTACTTTTAAAAATAATTACTTAAATATATATTGCAGTATATTTCAAAAAAAATCCTTAACAATAATTATATAAATAAGTTGTAAGTAAATAAATATTTGTTTTTTTTAATTAAATCACAAATATATATATATATATATGAATTATTTACAAATTAATTAAACATATCTAATTAATATTAATTGTTATCTAATAAATGTTTGTATACTAAAGTATTGAAGATTGATATCTATTTAAAATAATAATACTATAATTGAAATAAAATTTTTTGGTCAATTAATTATTGAAATTTTTCAAAATATTAAGTATATTTTGAAAGTATTTAAATTAGACAAAATAATATTGGAAAACAATACTTATTTAATACCTAATGATAGTAATGTTGTAGCAGTTGTAAAGTATTGTTTAAAAATTTTGCAAAAAACTTTAAATAAGTAATTAAACTTTTTTTAAAGAATAAATTGAGAAATATTTTGCTAAAAAATTGATGACAGAATTAATTGGTACTAGTAATTGAGAGTTTTTTACTTGAGATGTTGGTGATTAAGGTATTGGGTTTGATTTTTTTTTTTCTGATTATGTCCAACTGTGATAGCAACGGAATATATGACTCAATCTTCCAGGTGTGCTTTTCATCAAGAACAAATATAATCAAAGGCATTTTTATGAAGTTTAGAAGTTTTGTCTATCATTGTTCTGAAAGTAGCTAGTAATCTAAATTTGAAAAAATCCACATTTTTGAGTTTTTTGTTCGATTTGATAATTAATTTTATTTCTTCCAAGGTTATGGGCTTGTAAATTGCGTCCGATTGCTGATACAATATTACAAGAGCAAATTTAATTGATATAATTAACACACATGAGATGTGTAAAGTTCTGGCAATTTCTGTTCCTTTACCCCCTAGTCTATGAATAAATTCTAATTGGATTTTTTTGCTTCGCAGTTATAAAAGGTCGAAGAATCATTTGCTGTACCCTTTATCATCTTCAACACAATATCTAATTTCTAACAATTAATGTTTATTTCTTATTTGTTTATATGCTAGGACGCCTCACCTAACTAGTGTATATATGCCAATAGACTAACATAGATGACATCGCTTGCCGTTTCGGCAATCTCCGTTTTGGACTTCGACAGCTTTTTGATGTTCGTTAGAAAATCTCTATGTACTTGCTTATCGGTGTCACGTTGTATTTTCACGTTTCAATAAGCAAGAGCATAATTCCGTACCCTTCTATACGTGATACCATGTTCAATGAAATTTTTCAAATCGTGATGCCAGTCTTGAACCTACCATAAAAATTTTGAAAGGATGGCATTAGAATTTGTATCAATTAATAATTTATCACAATGCTCCGTAGAATCAAACACTGGGAAGCGAAACTTCAAGACAACGACTCATTCGATCAACAAAGTGATGAAAATCAATTCTAAGCTTCTGGTCCCAGCCAACGATCGTTTCCGGTATCACCTCAACAATATGAATTTATATTAAAATTATTTTTTGACAGGATTAGGGCAGAAAACAATTATTCGTTAGATTATATGTGTAATATAGTATCTGTTGGAGTTCTTGATCTTAGGATGAGAAAGATTAGTAAAGAAACCGTAAAAGTTTTTATCATGATTGAGAAGTAAAACATTAAATGAAATAAGTGTCTATAGATAGTAAAATGGTTGTAATTTAGGATTATCAGGGAAGGAGTTGCCATTATATGGGTTAGGTCCTCCCTTAATACATCCTGCTACTTCCTATATTCAATTTAATTACGCATAAGCTTAATTAAAACTAAATAAAAACTATAGAATCAATATACAGCTATATATGATATTATATTTGATAATGTATATTGCACAAAAATATCCACATTGAGCGTGAAACTAACTTGTACTTCCTTATTTTTACAAATTAAATGGGTAGAAGTCAAGTTTAAGTTTCTTTTCAGGATTCTCATGCTCATGCTTCTCCTTTCCTCGTTTAGCCCGATTATGCTTTTTAAAGAAGTCATCCTCACTTTTATATGGCCGATTTATAATAATGTTTTCGGCAGTGACATCACCAACCCCGGGCTGACATTCCATCATCCTTTGTAGTTCTGAAAAGTTAGGATTGATGTTTTTTGTAAAGGCAAATGTAGCACGAGAAGAAAATACAGGCCCAAAATACTGTTCGAAATTGTTACGCGAAATAATAAAGCAATCGTCATATGGAACTATTTCATAAATTGGTTGTGTTGTGAAAACAATCGTTAGGTGACGGTAATCAGCAAGCTGATTGAAAAGCTGTTTTGTAGTATTAAAAGCGGAGCTCTCACAATTCTTAATGTGTTCATTGAAAAGATCCTTTAAAGTGTATGTGGCCGAGTTATAGTCATATTTGGCTTGGTGAATACTTAAGAAAAGATCACCTTGAACTGATTCCAAAACTCTGAACGAATCTCCCCATTTAGCAGACCCACCATTGACAATCACATCTTCGCCTTCCTCCCAGGGAATGGGCTTTGCAGAATCTTTTTCTGTTAACTTTAAACATGGGAACTGCTCTTGTGCTCGGCGGACAGAAACTTTCTTCAGCCTAACCTCAAAATTCTTGGCCAATTCGGTCCCATAGGCGCCACTATATAACTCCCCCAGACGTACTGTATGCTTTCCACGTTTTACTAGCAAGTTTGTGCGGAATGCATCGTAGTATGCCACGAAAAGTTCCCAATGCATAGAGTTTTGCACTCGGAGTGTCTCTTCAAGATTGAAGTCAATGATTTTTAATTTATCATTGTATAAGCAGATAAAAAAGAAAGGCATATTGATGGTAAATTCAGAGGAATTGTCATTGCAGGGATTGAGAATAATATGTGTGTCACGCTCGAGGTTTTCGATCGTACAGTCTTGATCACTTAGATCCAGGCATGTCTTGCGATAAACAGGAATTGCATAAATACTGTGAAAAAGAAGCTCTAAAGCAAGTTTTTCATTCTTATCGATGGCTTCGTATATGTTGTAGCGTTCTTGAAGATGTTGTTTGACATTATAAAAGATGGTATTAAAATGTTGTTGATAAATATCATCAAAGAATTTCTTTCTATCGACTTCGATTTCAAAGCACACATCAAAAATGTACTGAAGTGCACGAGGCAATCCTCCAGTGTCTTCCAAAAGTTGGAGAAATGGTCGACAAAGCATCCATTTGTACGTACCACAGCTGAATTTTTCTGCATCGTATTTTTGAGCATAATGATTTGCAATATTAAGCAGTGCTTTGAATGACAGTTGTGGACAATTGACAAATCCAAATGAAACCCTTGATGATTCTTTTGCAGAAATAACAACTTGTGGTGCAGTCCCAGAAAGAAATGCCTGGACATAAATATTGGAGGATGGGCCAAGCATGAACGATGCAAGGTTATTGATCATTTCCTTAAAGAGCTGCTTTACTGGCATTTTTCTTTCGTTAACTGCGTCACGCTCCCACCGATCGATGAGCTGAAACTCGTCAATATGAAGAAACATAAAAAGCTGTTGATTGGGTTGGCTTAGATGATCATAAATACAATTGAAAACATTGGATATTTTGAAAATATCTCTATGTTTCCAAACTTGATCACGAAAAGTTTCAAACTTCATATTATATTTGCTTTCAATAAAAAATACATAGGCAATCCGCAGCCCGATGATGACTGTTGGAGTTAACTCATCGTCATATGAATCAAGTCGACAGTTATTACCAAAGTCTAGATAGAGATCTTTAAGTTGTATATCTGTCCATTCAGAAGGGACCCAATCGTTCTGATTATTTTCCATGTGTTTGAATAGTTCCTGTCCGAATCGAGTTTTACCTATACATAAGATTTATAATATAACTACGTGTAAAATCAATCAGCTTAAATACACTATATTAAGATCGTACCTATTCCAGGAGCTCCACCACTGACAAGGATGTCAAAATCTGCTTTGGACTTAGAACCTTTAAGATGATTCTCAATGTTTCTTATAATCCTTGTAATTGCCTGATTGGTGTCACGCTCCATAAAAGGCATTTGATCATCAGGCATAAGAGTATAAATATTAATAGTAGCATTCTTTAAGGCAATATTAATAGCATCTATGACTAGTAATTAAGGTCAATTAAAGAAACCATAAACATAGTGTGTGCAAACAAAAAATAATTAGATCAAATTGATATTTTGTTATGCAAATTTCTTGTCCGAGATAAAACATTGGAAGACACTTACCAGTGATGACAGGCGGTTGTACGATAATTCGGATGTTACTAGTGGATTCATAAAAATATTCTCCAACAGTTTTGAATGGAGATAACCTTACACCTTGGTATTGCTCTTTGATATTTTCGGCATATATTTTGGTTTCTAGATCTTCCCCTTCGGTAGGAACATTCACACTCCATAGTATGAGGTCATAACAATTGATATTTTTAAGGACATTCCCGATTTTATTTTTAACGACACGTTTGAGATGCCCAACGTTCATGTTTTTACTAACATAAACTGCAAAAGAATTTCTAAATGCATCACCTAAAATGATACAGAAAATCTGGAAATTCATTAAAAATACTTATAAAATTATATAATTTGCAGAATTTTAAATACCATGATTTCTTCGGTATCAGATAGCATTAGTGTTTAAAATAAAAAAAAATGTTTCAGTTTATGGCACGTAATCTGGCGTATTTATAAATTTAAGTGATTTTCGTGTGATTAGTGATGTTAGCAATCTCCATAACTTTGTATAAGAATACTAATAAAAAATATCGAATTTATGTCACTTTGCAAGCAAAAAAAAATTAAAAGCATTCTAATCATATCACAGTCAGAAGGAAAAAATTCCGCAATTCAAACTGGGTGAAGCGTATTTATATTTACATTAATAGTCAAATATAACCTCATTATTTAGCCAAATAGTAACAATATTATAGATCCCATGACAAAAAATATCAAAAGCATATAATAATAAATTGGTTTAAATTTTTATTAAAAATAAGCATCTCAAAAAAAAAAACAGAAAATTTTATTTTATTTATCAACATACGCAGCCTTATATGCAAAAAATGTGTTGTTTATGATAATTAATAAAATAATTTTTTTAAAAGAACTATTTGAATCAGAAAAATAATTAATTCTGCAATAATAAACATGAAAAAATAATTAAAATATATTAATTAAAAAACATTACTAATATAGACTTGTGAAATAAAAAATGTTAAAAAAAAATATATCCAAGATCAGTTTAGGATTTATGAATTACCTTCATCTTAGTATAATCAGAATTAATAATCATCATGGTTAAAGATAGACATTAATATATTCTAACATGCATATATTTTTGTACAACTTATATGCCCATATAATATTTACATAAAATTATTATATAGATTAGATAATAATAATTTTAAAAAATGTAGCCATTAAATTCTATCTGGATTCATTTCAATTAACTTGGTCATATAATTGATTTTTGACAAAAAAGAATAAAATGTAAAAAATACAAATGTCAAATTAATTATACTTTATGTACAGTTCAAGCATATTTAAAAAATATGATCAAATTACAATAAAACAATATCAAAAATATTTTGAAGATTCTTGTCAAGAAATAATCAATATCATATTTAATAATTATGAAAATAAAAAAATTGACAATTACTTTAAAGTAGATACCATTATATTTATAGATAAAAAATCTCTAAAATTAGAATTTGCACAAAAAATATTTGTTGTGATTTATTTTTATTATTGCCTAAAATAAAACCTATTAAAAATTTTTGAAAAAAAAATAATTAGCTTTTAAATTATCTAGTTGAAAAAAAATTATTTATAAAATTGTTAAATATTATATATAATAAAACCAAAAATGAAATTGAATCATTACTTAATAAATATAACAACTTGTATTTAATTTTCAATAAATAATATTTATATTTTGTTTTTTGAAATAAAGCGTAATAATAATATATGTTTTATTATTAACAAATATAATTTACATAACTATAAGATTTATTTAAGTTAATCTGCTTCTCTACCTATAATCTTATCTAATGTGTAAATTGATCTATCCTGAAAGTAAATATATATATTGAAAAAAATTTAAAAAAATAAAATTTTTACTACTAGCTTATAAACTATCTAATTTAATTTAAATTCTAATAATTCTTAGGACATATATCTTTCAGAATTGATTAGGATACTCAAATATCTATTTAATACTTTTTACTCAAAATATCAAAAAAAATATATTTATTATCATCACCTGTAACTTCAAATTTCTATTTATTTGTTTTAATTTCATATTTCTATTTCTCTTTTTTAAAGCAAGTATCAGATTAGAATAGCCTCAAGCTAGGATATTCTTTTGTGTTATGAATTATCTGGTATGCCAGTTGTAGCTATAGAATCTTATTGAAATTAAACTAGAAGTTTTTTTTTATACAATATTTCCTGTTTTAATTTGTTTTTAACTTGTAATTGTTAGAAAGACCAGAGATTCTATTTTCATACAACCTAATCAAATTTGATTAAGATTTGAATAATTGAATATAACATATATATCAAAATTGGTAAATCTATATATGAAAAATTTTTAAAGATAATTGAATATAACATAAGCAAAATATATAAATTTATTTACAAAAAAAATTTTATATATTTTGCTTCTTGTAAATATTGAATTAAAGATATATATTAGAAACCTAAAAGTATTACCTACTGTATTATTAATTCATAAGTCTAATAATATTTATATTTTATTTAATTTTAATATAAATTTTAATAATATTTATTATTTATTTAAATATAATATATAAGTCTAATTTAGTATAAAAATATTGGAAATTTTTATTTTAACTATATCAACATCAATATTTTATTTTACTTATTCAACTAAAAATAAATATCAAAATAGCATTACAATTGTTTAAGATTTATTTAATGTAATAAAGCAAATCAATCAATTAAAAATTTTAACAATTATTATTAACAATATATCTATAATTAAAAAAATATGAAAATATTTGAAATCAAATACCTTATAATCTTATTTTTAAAATGTATCATATATAGTTTAAATCTTTTAATTAACAAAATTATAAAAATATAATGGTGTGTTTGTTTAGTAAATTATATTAAAAATCTTAATAAGTACTTTAAATCTTATCAAATTTTTATATCAATTCTCAAAAAATATTAATTAATTAATTATAATTATTGAATCTCACTTAAATATTCAATTAAAACATATTAGAAATCTATTACTATATATTTAAATTTTATTAATTAAAAACAATTTGCTTTAAAATCAATAAATATTAAAATATTGTGGAATTCTAAAATTAACATTTTTAAAACAGTTTTTAATATAATTAAAAACAAATATTTTTGAAAAATATAAGATTATTATTTATTATACTTGATATATTAGTTGCTAATATTACAACTTTTGAATCAGATTCATCATAACTTGTATTTTATTATTATTAATATTAATAACAATTAATATCAAATAGTATAATAATTTTTTGTTTATTAATAATTACATATTATATATCTATATATCTAAATTATTATAATTAAAAATTATATATTGGTTTATATCTTTTTAGAAATTGGAAATAAAATAAGAAAAATATTATATAACTATTGAATAAAATATATTATCCTATAATGAAAATTACTAATTTACTAAATCCTTTTTATTTTGGTAAAAATTTTTTTACTAATGATATAATAATAATTTAGAGTTTATTTATCAATATTATTTATATACTGTAAATATTTTATGAAAGTAACCACTTCAATATAAAATACAAACTGGAATTTTAATATTAAATTGGTTTAAAATATTATAAAAAATTTAATTTTATTATATAATAATAAGACAATTTTAATACTGTTATATTTGATTTTTGCTTAAGATCTTTATTAATCATTGTTCAATTTTTATTAATATTCACCCTTAAAATACTGTCTATTCTATAATAATTTTTATATTATTATTCTTGTTATTGTTTAGTATTATATTTTTTATACTATTGTTGCTCTAAAATATTTCCTATTTTACTTACTTATCTTTATTATTTTATTTTTACCAAAGTATTTATTTTTATGCTAACATATACAGATAATTGTTCTAATGAATATAATACTTTTTTTATATCTCTATTATTTCCTATAATTTATAATTATCATGTATAAAAATAATATAACTTTAATATATATATAAAGTTTTCAATTTTGTTTAAGAATTGATAGGCTTAAACTTCTATTTAATCAAATAAATAAATTAACTTTGTACAAAACAAATCACTATTATCTCTTTTTTCTAACCTTATATACTTCAGAATTGTACACTTTGTATATCTCTAGAAACTTTAGTATACCATATTGATTCATTTTATCTAAAGTATTTTTCTATTATTAGTTCTTCATCTTTATTTATTTTTTTTTTTTTTAATCCCGCAATCAGGTTGGTGTCGTTTATTTATTAAATCATGAAGAACCATCACATGCACGAGAATACATGCAAAGTACAAATTTCCCCGACCCAACTCACCCGTCTTTAGCCGAAGCCT